ACATCCTATACATATTTAACAGTATTCTGCATCATGACTGTTTTTGTGAAATCCCGGCAAAATCTCTGCTGTGTGTGTGTGTGTGTGTGTGTGTGTGTGTGTGTGTGTGTGTGTGTGTGTGTGTGTGTGTGTGTGTGTGTGTGTGTGTGTGTGTGTGTGTGTGTGTGTGTTTTTGGCGCTATTGTTATTATCTATTATTATCTAGAAATGATATGTTGTTTATTATTAAATGAACACATTGGCTGAATGCACAATAGGGTCATGGTACTAAGTATACCATAAACAAGCCGAATAGATTTTATGGCTGCATGGGGCTGTATAACAAGCTGTAAATACAATATTGACATATTATCATTTGATATACATTCGGCGGACAAAGAGGAATAGTCATTTAGAAATTGAGTCATTGAGAATAATATTTGGAGGGAATGATCTGGCTTCTTAGCTGGTTAAAGCTTCTCTTTAATCACCAGCTAGTTGCTAATATCTCTCTGCTGTCTGCTGCTGAGCAGGTGGCAGAAGACTGCCTGCAGCAATCAGAAACAACAGTGATAAGTAAAGAGTGAACCAAAACAATAGATTAGCAGGATGTAAGAAACTAAACAATGAGCTGGAAGATACCAAAACACTCAATTAAGATCAGGGGAATTGCAGAGTTGGGGGATAATTCTCTGAGGGTTTTTTATCCTTTGTTATTGATTCAAACAAATATTAAAATATTGATTAGTAACACTTTAAGCCCATCGTTATGATCAGACAGATTTTTGATATTTAACAAAGCTCTAACTTAAGCAGTGCTGTTAGTGAAGATTTGATAAAAGGCCTGCAGTACATTACATCACTATATCTCAGCTTAAAGGTGGGGTAGATCATTCACTTCAGAAACACTTTTTGTTATATTCCATGGAATGCTCTTAACATCCAGATAGCAATGAATATATTAAATGCTTTGACAATAAATACATTAAAAAAATTCATCTGTGGAAACCGTCCCGGCTAAAATAACTGGATGGCCTACCTGCCTGTCAGCCTTCCATCTGTGCACAAACTTATCTCGTGCCCTCATTGGTCATGTGTGCGTTCGTGTGTGTTGGAGGAGGGGCTCTGTAAGGAAGTCTGAAGGAAGGGGCAGATTTTTTTCGGCTGCGTAGTTTCAAATTCTAGCGCACTCGAGCTGGTTTTGCCCCTTCCTTCAGACTTCCTTACAGAGCCCCTCCTCCAACACACACGANTGTGTGTGTGTGTGTGTGTGTGTGTGTGTGTGTGTGTGTGTGTGTGTGTGTGTGTGTGTGTGCACATTGTCTGAATGTTTACACACATCACTGCGGGTTGTTAATTAAGGACACAAAGTCATATATGTCCTCAGTGAGTGCAGCAAAGACAGGGATCTCAACTATATCATCTGCTGTCATTGTTAATGTGAGCAATTGTGTGTTCGTGATCTTGGTTGCACTTGAGACTATAGTCTGTATAAAGTGCTCCTTCCTCTCTAATGTGCATCAAAGCTCGGGCTGCCTGTGTTTATTTTTGGCAGTGTGTGGTGAGGGGTCTCAAGAACGCCAAGATAAAGGACTTAAGTATTGGCAAGGATTTGACTTTTCTTTCTTTTTTGCAACTATGAAGAATGACCTTTCTGTGCACCATTTATATTTTCTTTTGACTTTTACAATTTGATGTCATTTTTCTTAAGTGATCTTTGTGGGTTCTTTCCAAAGTCCACACAGAAAGTAAAAAATCAGCTACACATTTCCTTTTCTAATGTTGATAGACAAAAACAGATATTTCCATCTTCCAGAAACAAAATACCTATTATCTTTCACTGTTGATAAATGAGAAAAAGGCTTATAGATAAGAGAAATTGAAAGTGCACATAAGAGGGAGATGGTGAATTTGGTTAGAAATGTAAGCAGAAGGAGCAGGAAGAGCACAAGGAATGGTAATATGAATATGGCAAGAGGGTGAAACAGCAGGACAATAAGCGGAGAGGAGGAGAACGGGGAGGAGGCTTCTGTTGTAATGTTAGTTGGAAAGCCTTGTATCTATCATGTCCATAATTCATGGAAGACCAGCCGTTCCTCTGTATTGCATCTAAATTTCACTGCTGGGGAATTATGACCAGCAAGCATAAAAAAGACATACACACATGCACACTCACACAAACTTACAATACTAAGGAGGGGGGAAGATAGCAGAGGAACAAGAAGAAGATACATTTGAGAAAGAGGGCAAAGGAGCTGCAGCAGACAGCAGGGTGTGAGAGTGAGCACCCTCCTGCAGGATGAAGGGGTAGATGAAGGGGATGATTCAAAGCATGTCATAAAACATCGATACACCTCGAAATGCCGCGCTACGAGCTCTGCTTACACTGGAGGAGATTATGCCTTTAAATAATTCACAAAGCTTGCTCAAGCACTTATGCACACAAATACAGTACAAACTTCTATGCAAACAAAAACACAGACATGGATACAAAAGCCCATACGCACACAAATCAGTGTTTCACTCACACATTATGGAGGTTTGGCTTGAGTTAGACTTAGAGGGAAAGATTGGTTTTTATATTTAGCTTTTCAGACCAGCACCCCGAGCCAGTTTGAAGGACTCTTTGAAAAGAAGGAGCCGATAAATTGTTGGTTGTGAGGCAGACTCCTGCTGAGCTGGACAAAGTGATGGAAGGATGCAGCCACAAATCTGCAACCTCACTTTAACAACAACATCTCAATCACAAAACAGTATCGATCAGCCGTTTGTATGTTACAGATGCCTTTACTTCTGACAGAGATACTCATCTCTAAGCTAGGTACTGTATGGTAAACATATTCTAGAAATGCTATGTATTCCAAATATCATTACATGTAAATTAAGTGACTGCTAAGAGAATAATGACATTTTCATCCATTTTTCGCCAGTGTGACAGGAATTCCTAGTTACAGTGCAATTCCTGTAGAAATAAATGAGAGTTCACATGAAAGAGAATTCATCATATTGTGAAAGGTTTTTCATGGCTGATGCAGTGCTGTTGTATTAATGCCATCACAAAATTGCTATTCATATCTCTGCCAGGAAGGCCTCGGTTTGATATGAGCTCCTCTATACGCCTCCATCTGTCTGTGTATTCTGTGGTATGTGCTATTTCTCATTCATTAGCTCTGACTCATCTTTCTAATAACTACCTCTATTTCCTCCATGAAATAGTTTTCCGCTGTTGTTCTATTGTATGATTAGCCTGCTTGCTTCTGTGACTCATTCAATTTATTGTCAGAATAAAGCTTCCCCATTTTCGTCTTTTAGCTTTCCTGTGCGGATGACTTTTTTTATTGTGGCTATCATCTCCTCGCCTCTGACTGTCAGGTTGGTTTATCATCGCACTTAAGCGTCCCACTTTGGTCTCTCAGGCTCCCAATTCAAACATGTTTGCTGTCATGACTTTAACCGTAGCCTCGGGCGGACTGGATCTGTGTGCAAACAGACTTTATCATTGTTACTGTGGTTAGAGGTTTGGCAGGTTTCACTGTTTTATCTGTTAGAGTATGTCAGAAACATAGTAGGTTCACTGATTTCTCTCTGAGGCACCTGAGCGATGATAGTCATTTTCCTGTTAACACTTTCTATGAAGGTCATGCCTATAATGTATTATGATGACCATAATAATACATCATAATCTGCTTATAGCACTGTATCATTATACTTATGAGCCCTCATTCATATTCATAATGCTATAATCATCACTAAACAATAATCATTTAAGGAATAGTTCAACATTGTCTGTGGTTCAACACAAGCAATCTTATGTGCCTTTTTTCTGATGTTTTACCTTCATACTATAGCACAGTTAAAGAGCGTCAGTGTTCCTACGGAAACATTGAGAGTACCGTTTTCCAATGATTTTTCTTGTTAAGTTTATAGCAAATAAACGTCACACACCTTGTGAACTCAAAGATAGAAGTTCTTCATCTCTGTTTTCTCACAACTTCTACAGCTCATTATAAAGCATCTTATAGTTCATATTGTGATGCGTCATTAGTACGTTTATAATGCATTTTAGAGTTGATTCTCCTCTAGGAGTTTAGATGATGAACAGATGTTGGCTTATTAACTTCATCAACCAACATATGCACAGGAAAAAAAAACAGAGATTGCTGTTTTCAATCTAGTTTAGATCATTTTGCTGTGAAGAAGTATTACAACAAAACTTAATTGATCAGAAAAAACCTAATGGTCTAAATACTACCTCAGATTTATTTTCTTGCCGGACTAAATAGCTCTGCTGTTTGCGCTGCATTGACCAAGTCATACAGTATGTTCTAGCTTGGTGATATTTACCCAGTGTTTAGCAGTCGATTAAATAAGATAATCCAGGATGATGCACCATGCTTTTGGATGAATCCACTGTTCAACATTTGGCAACCGGCAGAAATATGTAGAAAAAAAGATTCTGAGGAGCCCATTCAATACACATTACAGTAAAAAAAGGCACATCAAGATCCAAACAATCCAAATCATTAAAGGGGTCCTATTACACTGAACAAACTGAAAGGTTGACTTTAATTAAATGTATTATGTCAACAATTTTCATATAATAATATTAAGTTGAACCTCATTTTTTTAATTTAAACTTAATATTATTGCTTTCAACTAACCTAATAAAGTTATGTGAAATCTGTTGACATAATAGATTTAATAAAAAGTAAACGGTTCAATTTTGTCAGCGTATGCACATTTTGAGAGTTCACATTTGTATTTTGTACCGTGACATGTTTACTTGATTTCATGTTCAAAAAGTGGTGCTTTGTGATTTTAGCCTTTGCAGACCATTTACATGCACAAACCTATAATATAACAAAAAAGGGAAAACTTCAAAAAGCACAATAGGGCCCCTTTAACACACTTAAATATAACAAAAGGAATTCCAAGGCTATTCATCCACAAACATTAGAACATGAATTTGAACCATTTGACTCAACAGTTAATTTAAGCAAATTAGAACAAAACAGTTCAGAAAGATTTTCACACCATTTTATTAGCAACAATGTGTCTGTTAGTTATATATTAGAAACAAGGACAGAAACGTTTCTGCTTCACTGTACTGAGTCTGAAAAACCAGCTGGATCATAAAATAAAGCAAGTAATTCATATACTGTAGGGAAAAAGCAACACTGCATTTGAATATACAATTGTAATAATAATAATCATAATAATAATACATTTCTCTTTAATAAATCTTTATGGCACAAAGTTTCCTGTGCAACTGTCACATCTGTAAAGGAAAGGAAGGAAAACATAGCATTGAGAACTGTGTGAATGTGTGTGTGTGTGTGTGTGTGTGTGTGTGTGTGTGTGTGTGTGTGTGTGTGTGTGTGTGTGTGTGTTTGTGTTCGTGTTGTAGTGTATTTGCAGGAAAACACATGTCACAAGAGGAAAACTTATAACAAAATCACTCACTGTTTCACCCTTTGGGAATATTAATGAGCATAATCGCTGATAAAATCAACAGAGAGAGAAAGAGAGAGGGAGTGTGGGTACAACAGCATACCATCCATTTTAAAGGGGGGGGCGAGGGACGATCCAATCAGCTTTAGGCCCCTCACAAAGCCACAAGCATTTCTTCATGAAATCAAGCGGTAAATCATTTCATTCGTGAAACGTGTGTTCTGTGTCCATAAAACTGCTCCTCCAGCTATAGGCTGGTCAGCCAAGTGCAGAAAATAAAAACAATCCTGTGAAGGAACTCGCCGAGTACCTCAGAGAAGAGCAAATGTCTCTCAGTCCATCGAGTTGAGAGAAGAGAGAGACTAAAGTGTGTACTATGACCTGTTAAATACTTAAAGATGTGCCTTCAAATGGGAATTAATCTTTAGCCCATGAATCCATTTACCAAACCAGAGACAACACAAGAAATTCAGTGAAGTCTAGAAGAACTAAAATAACTAAAGCCTTGCCTTAAAAATGTCCTCTGACTGCCACAATTACAACTTCAGTCTATGTTTTAGCCTTAATCTGTAAAATAAACATTTACAAAATAAATTGTGTCATCTGGTTGGAGCACTCTTCACATTAGCATACATTTAAAGGGCAAACTAATACAATGCATTCACCCATTACAAGAAATGTCTAAAATGTTATTGCAACCCACCACAGGGTTTGGTTTACATAGGGGGGGTGAACGATTGTTTTGAAGTGAATGGAATAATAATCTCGGTATAACAACTGATCAAGTTATACACACACTCGCACACACACATGCAAGAACAGTCACACAAATGCAAGAACCTAAAGTATCCCCCCTTTGGCACCTACAGTCACTCCGCCTGCATGAACACAGAGGTCCGTCTCTGCTGAAGTGTGTTACTCTTTGTGTCAGCAGACACTCAGAGGAACCAGTCTACCGTCAAAATGGAGACCTCTATGAAATTCTGTGGAAAAAAAGCAGGGATTTCCATCTTCTGTGAGCCATTTATGTCTTAAAATATTATGGCCTAAGTTATCTGAAATGTCATTGGATGGCAGCTAAAACATGACGTCCCCCCTTCCTCCACTGGTGGTGAGTGATATTTTATAATCTTTATAATCTGTGGATGGAGGAACAGGCAGATCATCCCATCACGGGAGAGGGAAACACTGGACTTCTCCTAATCATATTTTGTTAGTATAGCAGCTATGACAGAGAGAATCCCTGCCGATTATGGATTAAGGGAATCTATGTGTCTTTCAGGCCACGAGTAAAAGACACAAACTTTATCAAATGGTTAAACAAATTCCTTTTTCATTGTTAAAAAAAGAGCTATTTAAAACAAAACAAAAACAAGACGTCTGTGTTATTGGTAAATCCACAATACTTTAAACTATCATGGCTCAAGTGTAAGGTCCTGGACCTGAGCATAGTACCTTGGAAAATCCTGTCCTGAGAGCCATCGGAGTCCTTCAGTCTGCGAAAGGTGACCAGTAGAAGGACACAAGATTAGACCAAACTACGGACTAAACTGGTCTAGACGACAAAAACAGAGTCTTGTTTAGGCTTTCCCTATTCATCTGAGCACATACTGACAAAGAGTTCAAACCTCACCCAGCTAAACATCAGTGCTGATGCTGCAGCTGCGTGTGAACATGTCCCTCATCGTGACCGACCGGGCCAGGTTTGGTTTCCGGTAGTTTGAAATGTTCACAGGCACTGGCAGGTCCAGATCTTGCTGATGCACGCTGCGGTAGCTGATCCGGTCGCCTCCGTTCCTCAAGCCATCAGGTTGATGGTGGATCTGCGGCTGAGGGGGCGGCTGCAGGTAGAAAGGCAGGTCATAGTGCGTACAGGATGGACAGAAGGTCTGTGAGCGTGTCAGTTTCCTGGCCAGGGGAGGGGTGGAGAAAAGGGCGGGGCCATTGGAGATGGAGGAGGCGGCGGCCGTAGCCGCCACAATGTTGTGATTGGAGTGGACCGGAGGGAGGCGGGACGTAACAGCGAAGTCTGGCTCCTCCTCCTCCGACTCAGACTCTTCCTTCTTGCAGCAATAATACTGGATGGAGGAGGAGATGGCGAGAAAGATGATGGGGAGCAGAGATGACAGAAGAAGAAGGGATAGAGAGACAGGGAGAATATTAGGGACCAAATTATGTCAAATAGAGAGATGAGCAAAAGAAGAGTTTGAAAAGTGGCATAACAGAAAGATAATGATCAATAAAGAGAAAGCGAAAGGCATTTATTCCACTGAAAAGTCTGCATGGCCATGGTGTTAGCAGAAGCACAGCAGGATACATTCTTTGGGAAGTTCATTGAAATGCACTTAAAGCCATTAAGGTATAGGTCAGCATCTATATTCTACTAAGAATGTTTTTCCAGTAGGCTACTGTCTGACAATGCTTGCCGCCACAAATCCTGAGATTTTGTGCATATTGAGGAGCTGCCATACGAGGCCCTGGCCAAACATTTGGGAGCAATTTAGAGTTCAGTGATGTGCTCAAGGATACTTCGACACATGGGAGGAGCTGGATACGCACCAACCCTGCCATTAATTCTCTACCTGCTGACTCACAAAAAGATACATTTGTGCCCATTACCTTTAAGATAACGCCAATAACAGCATTTTGTCCCACCACAAGTTTTTATCCTAGCTAAAGAAACAAGATCATTAGTTAGCTTTACAGTTACTGCTAGCTGGATTTTGTCACTTTCTGACAGCCAAGCTAGCTGTTTCAAACTGTTAACTGTCTGTAGCCTTAAATTCAAAGGACAGATATCAATCTTTTATTAAACTCATCTCAGTCATAAATTAAGCATACTCCCAGAAATATTAAACTATTTTAAAACTTGATATGATGAGGTTCTTTGTTGAATTTTTTTCAAATTTGTTTGCCAAACATATTTTTAACACTATTGAAAGGCCAAGCAGTGAAATGCACAGGGGAGTAGTTCAGTTTAACAGAATGGAAACGGCATCATTTAAAACAGAAATAAACCCACATGCTTTAATAGCAATCCACAAACTGTTGTAATGCTTCCCGGTGGTGTTGTTAGTGTGATATTTCAAACTATCTGGAGTTCTTCAAGGATGAAAAGTGGTTCTTTTCACCTAAATACATCAGAATATCCGAGCACAACCCCTTAGAAAGATGGATTATGCATGACGATGCATAAAGATCAAAGATATTATGGCTATTTCTTTTTGGGTGCGGTGATGGCTTTTATTCTTCACAGTGTTGTAGCAATCTTGGACCTTTCCTATTCCACTCACTGTCGAAGAGATGATTTACCTTAAGATCTTTCTGTCTTTAATGTACAAGCTTACATGCTCTGACAGCCAAAGACCAGGACCATGACTGACACACAGAGAGTGTTTGCCTCATTACCATAAATGTACATTTTAGCTACGCTAGCAGAATGGCCCAAGGAATGGCAATGTCTCATCATTGCCATTCTGACATTTGGAACAGACATTTATATTACCCTCAGGATGAATCGTGTTAACTTTGGTAAAACCCTGACTTTCTTTCACATCCCATCATCATTTTCATTTGTCCAATACTGTGGTTTAGGATCATAACAACTGTGTAGTGCTAATGAGCAAATCTTAGCATGCTGAAATGCTAAACTAAAATGGTCAACACTATCAAGATAAAACCTACTGAACACCAGAACGTTAGAGAGAGATGTCCTTGTTAGCATGTCGGACAGTAGCATCTAGCTGAGCATTGAATAGCTGCTAGCATGGCTGTAAATAGTCTATTTTTTGTTGAAACCTATATCAGTGTGTTTTAAAGGAACATGATCATTTTAAAGGGCACCTATCCTTACAAAGATGAAATTGTCTTTAAGAGTAAAACAAATCAGGGCCACTATTCCCTGATGAAGATGCCTGTCTATCGCTGTATTTTTATGCAATTCTAAACACAGGTCTAGAAACATTTTCTACTGCAGTAAAACCCAAGCTTGAGAAGCCTTAGCAGACACAGACAAAGAATGCTGCTACACTCATCAATTACATTTTTTGGGTTAAAGGAACACGCCTATTATCCTTGCTATTTGAGGTCTCAAACACAATTGCCCTGATTAAAGCAGCTATGCTTATGAATAGGTTCTGAAGGACACCTTTAACTCGCAGCTCATGCTAACGTTCTGAGAAAATACAGGGAATATAACACTGTCTGAAAGCAGCTGTGGCCTCACCTGTAGCCTACAGTAGCACAGTATTGCGATGATAAGGAGTAATATAACCGTAGCTAGAATTCCACCAGTGATGACCACTGTCCCGGCTGTCATTCGAATGGCTCTCCATCAACACCCTGCAGAGAGCAAGAAGAGAGAATGATGGCAGAAGAGGGGCAGAGAGAAAGAGTGGAAAAGAGAAGAGGAGGGAGAGAAGAAATGGCGGAAGAGAAAGCACACAATTAATCAGCACAGTGGCCTCATTAAGTAGATTATAACTGTGTGTCATCTCAGTGGTGCTTATTGAATTATCCAGCAGTTAGGAAACATGTAATAGAATCATCCTACAAATGCTGCTCATATTATAGATGGGATCTCAGGCTGAAACACATAAGGAAAAGAAGTGTGAGAGAGAGAAGGAAATAAGCATTCAACAGCAGAGCAGCAACAGAAACAAGCTGCAGGAGACCAAAGAGATAAATGGATTGTGGTAGTGTGGAGAGTTGAAGTGACTGAGCAGGTGATAGAAAACAAAGACAGAGCGAGTCTCTAATTGACATGGAGTGAGAGGGAAAAAAAGGTCAAGATGAGTTGAGGAATAGGGATAGGAAGGGATTTGATGAATGATTGTGAAATGGAGATACAAAGTGATGGAGTGGATGAAGAAGGTGGTGTGAAAGACAGACGGGGAAAGGTGATACCCAAACAGATGGAAATGAAGAATGGATGGGAGAAACAGGGGATGAAGTGATGAAGACAAAGGAAAACAGGGTTTTTGGATGACTAATAAGATGGAAAGTGTGCATAAGAAGAAGGGAGATGAACAGAGAAGGGATTTTGCTGAGGTTTTGAGATGTGAAATATTCAAGCCGAGCACACGGTTGAATGAAAACAGATATATAATCTCTTATGCATGCACCGAGCCAGGACCCCAAATGCATTTATAACCCAGAGACTTTTGTTCATGCCCACTGCTTTAAAAGTAATAAAATACATATCCGTAAGTCTATGGTTGAATTTAAAAATAGAAATATGAAACGCAGGTACTATGACACCAACTTTGGGAAGGAAATAATTCTGGTGACAATAATAGTCACAAAAGTAAAAACAAATCTAAATGCTGTCTTTGCGTTAATACTAGCCTACACACAACACCACAATAATACTATAAAAGCAATACTAAACAATTTGCACTTGTGATACAACCTTTTCCACCAACATTACATTGATTGATTTTTAACAGTTTGAAGCATTGTGACCAAAAATAAATTGGTGCTCAATCCGAAAGTTTGTTAACGGCAGAAACCAAACATTAGCACTTGACCTGAAGTGTGAACTATGAGATCTTCAGTGGGCTTGTCATGTTCTACAGGTTGGAAATAGAGGATTGAAAAGGCACAAAGAGAGAAGTCATGTGAGAAATGGCCTGATTAAAAAAAGAATGTTCAATGATTTTAGTAAGTGTAGGTCCATACTTGTTTTTCGGTTTAAGTCAATGCCATCCGCCATCTTTCTTCTTTTATTTACTACGCTCTACATTGTTCACCCTAAGTTAATGACACATCATTGATACACGGCTGAGCTTAAAACTGGCATAAAGATTCCAAGAACCCTGACCAGAAGTGGTTCAGGAAGAACCTTAGCTTATTTTTTGGAAGAAGGGCTAAGTGAGGGTTTTCACAATGAATCAGCATTCCGAGAGCATTGTTTCCCTAATGAGAGAAATCTCTTAATGAAAATCAATCAGCAGGAAACATATGTGTATGATCTGTGCCCTTAAGTCACAGGTCAAGACAAAAACAAATGGAGATGTTGATCTATGGTTAGCTGATTGAGCTCTGCAGATTTGTCAAGTCGATCTACTGTTATCTCTCTTGCTTTTTTGCCATTGCATTGTATCGTTTATTGACTTGCTTATATGCAAAAGTTGCTTTCAATATTTAATTGTTTCATGTAATTCATTTAAGCAGCGTATCTTTGTGTGTGCTTCACAATACCAACATTATGATCTTCCTCGTCCTTTAGACAGTCAGTCTTAATTAATTTGTAGATTCAGGTAGTCTATATTACAGTTTCCATGCGGGTAGAAATGACTCGGCTGAATGATCCAGAATGTCATAAGAACATTTGCAGCAGTATGATTGACTTGAAACTGAACTGACCTCATTCTCAGCTTATTAGATCAATGCTTCCCTTTAATTACCTCTTTTCAGTCTCAGCAGCAGCTGGATTACAGGAAGAAGCCTTGGGCATGGAGGCTTTACATTTTCATTTTACTCTTGAAAGTAACTCGCATTAATCACAAACATTGTAATGTCATTCAGGTTGTCAAAAGTAATTGCTTTTCTCTGCCTTCCTCACATTGTAAAGAATTTGAGGCTGTCACATAACTAAAGAGTTGGAGCCCCGCAGCAGCCATCAACAATATCTGAACCCTTACCTGCTCACTGAGGCAGTTATCTGTTACACAACAACAGCAGCCTAAATCAAACAAAACTAATCGCTGAACTGAACTTTTTCCACACAGAAGTACATTTACATGTAGAATTGAGGCACTATGCAAGATGTATATGGACTTAACGGGCTTTCAGTTGTTACTATTAATGCAAAACATATTTGCCTTTGCTAGCTCAGAATTTGCATATTAAAGATGCACTTTTATAATAAGTGGAGATTTTCTGGAATAATCTTGCAAATATCATAGGAAACAGGTTCTCCAATCCTCAAATTGCATTTCTTTTCATGCATTTAATGACATTTCTATGACCTTCTAACAGTGATATATAGGAATAGATGTTGACATTAAGAGTTAGAATCATCATCTGTAAATCATGTTCCTAGTGATGCTTTTGGCTTTATCTCTATGATCCAGTTTTAGCAAGTACAGATCAGCTCTGCATTTCTAAATATACATATTATTTTACCTTTTCTTATAGCGTGCTACTGTCAGTGTGGAAAAAGTTGTGACTCAGTTTCCAGGTTTAGCAACATTCTTGTATATTTGGGGAAAACCCTGCAGACACTTGACAGATGTGGGAACAGACCTTTCGCCCTTCATTACATGCACAATCTGGAAGTGTCATTGGACCACACAATCACACTGACTGCATTGTGGATAATTGCCTGAAACCAAAAATAGGACAGCAGGCTTGTTGCTAAGCTATGACTCAATGATGCAAGCCATTACCAGCAGCAAGCACACAGCAGCATAGCCTGACGTTGTCAAGATATAACTCAACTGTGACACGAACACAACCTGAAATGATGAAAACATAACAATAGTGAGGTAAATGCAAACAGTCATGCTCTTTACTGCTATCCCAGTATGCAATTTACATTGAATTTATGCCTGTCTGTACATCCTGGACTACACAAGTCTATGTGTGTACTATTGACTGACAGCTCTGACCTTCTCACCCTGAAACACCTTTAAACCATGTTGAATTCCTCTGTGGATATCTTGTCTAAACCCCATTAGCTTTCATTGTGATATTTCTCTCCATGGAGGCTCTATAAAGTTAGAATAGATCAGTCTGTCTCTGCAGTATATGTGCCCTATCTACAGACAACACAGCTACTCCCCTCAGGCAGGAATACAGCGGGACTCTAATCCAATCTCCAGGCCACACAGACCACCAACCAAATCAATATGAAGGAACATCAGGAACAGAGCGTTAGGCTTAGAGTTAAATCGAAGAGCTACATGTGGTGATTTTGGGACTTTTCAGGAACAGAGAACAGAAAAATGGAGGAGTTTGAATGTCTGTCTGACATTTGGGTTAAAGGTAGGGTAGGTAAGAATGGAGAAACCAGCTCGAGTGCGCTAGAATTTGAAACTACGCAGCCGAAAAAAATCTGCCCCTTCCTTCAGACTTCCTTACAGAGCCCCTCCTCCAACACACACGCGCACACGACCAATGAGGGCACGAGAAAAGTTTGTGCACAAGATGGAAGACTGACAGGCAGGTAGGTCGTGCTTTTTACTGCGCCACGGCTTCCACAGATGTAATTTATGTATTTATTGTCAAAGCATTTAATATATTCATTGCTATCTGGATGTTAAGAGCATTCCATGGAATATAACAAAAAGTGTTTCTGAAGTGAAATACCTTCAGAAACCTTCAGAAACCTTTAAGGTTGAATATGAAAATACTGATTCATTTTTTATGTATTCTCTGACATGACCATGAAACAGAGAATCTAGCACTACATACGAGCTTCACATCTTTAAAGAAGTGCCGGATGCAAAGCAATATACAGAGGAAATGTTCATTTAAATTAACTCGTCTGAATCCAATACGTCTGTCTAATTTGCTTCCTTCTTCGAAGTGCCGATTACTTTGTC